GGTTCTCTTTGCGAAAATATGCTTCTGCCAGGTAAGTCTTTTATCCAAATGCAATCCAAGATATCTCACATGATCTGTCTGTGGAACTTCAATGTTGTTTAATGTGACTGGAGGACAAGATCCTCTTCTTAAAGTAAACGTTACATTGACTGATTTTGTTGTGTTTGCTTTTATCCGCCACTTTTTGAGCCAGTTAGCTATGTCGTTTAGTCCTTTTTGGAGTATTTGTGAGGCTATTTTTGGGTCACTATGTGCAGCTAGTATGGCGGTATCGTCAGCAAAGGTTCCAGAGGTTAAGGATTCAGATGTGGGCAAATCTGCAGTGAACAGTAAGTAGAGTATGGGTCCCAGTACTCTACCCTGTGGAACTCCCGCTTTTATGGGACAAAGGTCAGACACTGCTTTTCTATTCTGTACTATGAAGTGACGCTGCTGTAGAAATGATTTTAGTATTCCATACATTCATTTACACATGATGTTGCAAATTATAAAAACAAAAAAATGTCCTGTTTCTAAACCACTAAATATTTTTTGTTCATATTTTGCAAATCGTCTAGAAATAAAGTGCAGAATATGTGGTTTAAAAATTCATCAAAAGAAAAACACACCTTATATACAAAAAATGTCACCCGAGTTAATTCTACACAACGACGAAGGAATTAGATTTTTTGACGTGACAACGTCTTATAATTCGATGGAGCCGGCTGCACGCACGAAAAAACATGACTCATGCGTTACCTCGCTCTGAGGCGTTCCATTTAAGGCGTGAAGTGCAAGCGAGAGCGCGGAACGAGTGACAAAGAGGCACAATCGGCCTCCGCGTTCGGCAGCGTTCGACATCTGTCTCTCTCCTACTTGAGTGAGCGATGCGTCCGCTTGGACAGCTGCTATACGTATGCTATGCGTATACAATAATACATTTTTGAAAAATGCAACCATTCCATCAGTATTTTCTTATGACGTTGTCACGTTCAACTATCGTCAGTAAACCGACTTTACAGACAACCGATTTTTTATGAACAATTTGTATGAAGCTAGTATTAAAAATCAATTATCTCTTAAACGGCAAGGAAAATCCTCACCGATGGTTTAGTACTAATTATTTATTATTTTTTGACATACTCATATAACGGTTATCGGTACTATTTTTTTTTAAATAACAAAATATTTTTATTTATTTTTACATCTGAAACGGTTTCTATTAACGTTTAAGTTAAGAACATCGATATGAGGAATGTTATTGATCTAAATGTTAAGAATATATAAATAAAGAAAGAAAAAAATAGCTGTTTGTTCAGTTCACAGTGTCTTATTATTACGATTTCAAAGTGCGGCGCTACGTTCAGCAAGCGTTCGTTTTCTGTTAAAATCTGTTGTGTTACATTTTATGTTTCTAGGTGGGTACCTACTAAAAAAATTGCATTATATTAGTAACGCTACCGGCTGTTTTATCATTTTCATTACAGTCCTATTTTCCTGAATAAAATATAAATTTTTTAACAATGAACGGATATCTAAGATATATGGTTTTATTCACATGTATTTAGAGCTTTTTATTCAGGTATGGATGGGATGTCGAGCGACACCGCCAAGACCACCTCACCCCGGGCGACTGCCTCCTCCGTGAGGACTCTCACGCGCATTATCGCGTCCACCGTGGAGCGCCCCTGGCGGAAACCAAATTGGTTGTCCGCCAAATCCGGCCCCACCCCGGTCATGTGCCGGACGAGGCGACTGGCGATGATTCGCTCAAAGATCTTACACACCTCGTCCAGCAACACGATTGGCCTGTACGCAGATGGCGAGTCTGCGGGGCGCCCCTCCTTCTTGAGCAGGACCAGCTTTCCGGTCTTCCACCGGTTTGGAAACTGGCCCCGCTCCAAACATGCGCTTAAGAGCCCCGCTAGTCGGGGCCCGAGAGCCTTCATGGCCAGGACCCATGCACGGCCCGGAATGCCGTCGGTCTCAGGGGCGGTGTTCCTGATGCGAGCCACCGCCACTCTCAACTAGGCCCGGGTCACTTCGGGCATGTCGTCGTCAATGTCGTCTTCCGCGTCGGGCACATTGCGAGGCGGAACCATAGCCGGTGGTGTGTGCTCCGGTCTCGACGGAAACAACGCACACACCACCTCCTCCAGCAGCTGTGGCTGGAGACTCCGGGATAATGGGGGAGCCCATTGGCGCAACTTGCCCCGTACTAATCCACGGCTCCTGGATTAGGGCTACGGTATTGGTGTTTACCTCCAGCTCTCTGCGTAGGTTAGCCGTTGCTCTCTGACTGTGCTGGAGGTTGGTTTGGATGGCTATAAGGGTGTTATGGGGGGGTGCAGACAGCGCCATCATAGCTGTTCAGCATATCCTCCATGTCTTCGGCGAGGTCACTCTCGCCCACCGGTAGGTCCTCCAACTCCTCAGGAGGTGGACCCCGGAAGGCTGGCTCTTCAACGGGTCTCGGAGGATCCCCTCCACTGCCGTCCTTAGGGTGTTGTGGGGCCGTTTCTGGCTCCTCGTTTGGGTTTCCTTCTGGTTGTCCTCCTGGGTTTGTTGGTGGGGCGGGACGTTCATCAAGGAAGCGAACGTAGAGGTTACCCAGTTTGTAGTATACTCTACGCTCGCTAGCCCTGAGCTTTAAGACGTCCTCTTCTGGGATGCCGAGCACTAGGAAGAGACATTTCTTCTCCTCCTGCGCCTCGGCATGCTAGAAGGCCCACTTGGCCACATTGTACTGGCTATTCTAGTACCTTAGCCTCGTTTGTATACGGACCAGTGTATCGTCTGGTCCGATTTGTGGTACCAGGAAAGCTGGACTAGCTTTGATCCTTTTCGGGAGCTCAGACTGCCTCCTGACGACCAGTTTGGTGCCTTCACGCGGTGACGCGATCCTTTCCAGGGATCGGCGAAGCCACTGTATGATATTCGTCGTTGCATCACATCTTAAGGGCGCCCTCACTGTAGAAGGCCTTGCCTCTAAATTGTGACGGGTGCGCTTGACGTGCCGGGCGAGAAGATCTCCTCATCTAGCACACCCTGCAGCTGGCCCTCGATGTCCTCTGCCTGTACCTTTGTAAGGTCGTGGTAAGGCTCCAGCATGACCGCGACGCAGAGGTCATTTGCCTTTAGTGCGTCCGAGTAGCTCGTGGAGCCGGTTTTTGGCAACGGTTTGATCCGCTTGCCACTGCCCTGGGGAGTGCGAGGCTCGTCCGGGCGAGTTCTTTTGGCGGGCCTTGCTTCACGTGAAGGTTTCCCTCCATGTCTCGTCTCGCCCGTTTACCCTGTCCAGGTTGACCCTGCCTAAAGGGTACTTTGGCGGCTACAGGCGTCTTGGCAGGTGGCGCCCCCACAGGAGTACACTTCCCCGTGGCTAGACTTTCGTCTTCGCCTCGGGGCAGCACGTTACTGGCGGGGTCATCGTGGGCCCCTTGGGGACCTTCAGCGACTTCAAGCCGCTTACTTCCACCCGAGGTCAGACACCGTACTTGCCTTTCCACTTGGGCTTTCGCCCTGTTGGCGTTGCGGGTCTTATTGGACGGCTTTGGTCTTTTCGACCTTTCCTTACCAGGCTCCAGCCGGTTTCTACCAGGCCGGGTCCCGCAGGTACAGGCATTGCTGCCCTCAAAGAGGAGAGGTCGATGGTCGATGATGATGGTGGGTCGATGGATGGACGATGATGGTTCTGCGTAGTATTCTCCTTTAGTCGGCTCTTACGACACCCACGGGATGAATAGGGGTGGTGACACTCTGTATCCTTAATCCTCCACGCATTTTATTAAGCCCAATAAATGATTTGATGATGGGTATTCACCTATCTACCAACTGGCGTAAGACTTGCATAAGTCTCCGATTATTATATACGCACCTTGGTATTTCATTTGGGCATTTCATTTTGCTTGTGTCATAAATCCAATAATATGATATGTTGCCTTGGGACACATTGCAGACCTGGATTCGTTTTCGACACGCAAGTAACGCGCAACTCAGCATAGCGATAATTTTTTTATGGAGCTGTGCGAGTACGAATGTTTTCAAAGATTTACGCACGTTTGCTCCTAACTACAGCGAGCCTGTCCCGCCTACATCGCATTTCTAGTGCATTCAGTGTTCTGTGAGTGCAACGCTATGGCTACGACGCGTTGATAGTATTCTACAAACGTATACATAACTATCTGTCGAAAAAAATCTTTGTGCAGCACCATGGTCCACGGTAATCCTGCAAGCCCTTTTTAACTAAATAAATCTAACAATAATTCATTGGTAGATGTAGTATTGAGTTTTGTGTCAGAGTTATAAAACTAAAATAAAAAAAATAAAACTTTTGTCCCTCGGTACGCTTGGCATGTAACAATATGGTACATCGCCCAAAGTTTTCTTACAACGACATTTATGTTCTCGTTATTTATACTATTCTAATTAAAAAAAAAAAAAACAATCTAGACACGCGGGAGCGTGTTAAGCTAAGTTTCAAGGCAAATGAACTAGCGAGCGGCACTCAAAAACTATTTAACATAAACGTGATGTGTTGTTTTTTGGCTTTTATATTGGGATCCCCTATGTAAATTAGTGACCCCAATTTTATAAACATAACCTAACGGTTATATGGATATTAAAGTCATAAAATCGTCCTAATTTTTATCATTGATTAACTTATATGTAGTTTAAAATGACCTACAAAGTTTCAATTTGGCATCCTGCTAAGTAAGACAAAGAACACAACACACATTCCGTGAATTTCTATAGTACTCATTAGTCTAGTTAATATTTGGTTATTTAAAAAATAAATTTTATGTCAAAATAGAAAATATATGTATAATATTGACGTATTGAATAAAAAAAACAAATTATTATTATTGGGTCACTCACTTTAAGCCTCTCCCACAGGCTTTCACAGAGAGCGTTGTTGTGCCGCTATTATCTGCTCCCTGTCACTTAGATCAGCTCTTCAGTTAAGGTATAAATATGTTTGAAATCAAATAATCGACAACAGTTACAGGTGGAATAAAGAAATGTTTGTTGTTGCGTTGCGCAGAGAAAGCTCTGGGCGGGCGGCTGCGTGCGGGGCGGGCGGCAAGCGGCGAACGGGCGCAGTGGGCGCAAATAGCGGCAGCGCGCGGCCGCCGAGCACTCGCTACGGCCAGTCATCGCCCGAGCGCTCCTTCGCTCACTGCATACTGAGTGCACGGCGCGATCGCTCGATCCGCGACCTGACACAGCGACATCACCCACCGCGCGCAAACCTACCCTACCGTATAATTCGCGATCTCTTCCAACAGTGTTGTTTGTAAAGTTAATTCTGTGCTCAAACTAGTTGTGTAATAAACGCTAAACCGAGCCGCATCACATATCCTGGTGTTCCAGCTCCTGGTGATAAGCACGTGCCTTCAGAATCAATAGTGGTGAACTACTCTTCTCACTCTCCTACACCTCAAGGTCAGGACGGCAGGTAAACTCACTACTTGATTTTCGTTTGACTTTCATTCATGATGAATGTCTCTATCCATATCCAATGAACGAGGTTTAAAGGAAAAAGGCTTTTATACTTATTTGGCTGATTTTGGCGCTTTTGCTAATCCTAGAAATCATTAGGTATGCACTTTATGTACGTTAGATAGAACTCAAGAATGTGACTGTGGATAAAACTAAAATAAAAATAATCGTTTGCTAGTGTGCCAGTTTCTGGGGACACAATTGTAATAATGGTAAAATTGCATAGGTGGTTGTAGTCTCTGCTCGTACGTTGCAGGTCATTTATCCTAGCCGGTGACCCATTTTCACAACTTTGACATTCGCTTACTCATCAATAGGTAGGTTGGTCATTTTATTTTATATTTTTTTATATATTTTACGAAAAAGCTTTTTATCATTTTTTTGACACAGTTAACCTCTTTTTGCCTTAGTATTAATTATAATATGTAAAGTAAGATTTCTTTTAACTTTTATATTTGGACAATAAACAACATTCATTTTAAACATTGGTATATTAAAATTGCCACAGCACACACACACATTATAATCAGTATTTTATATGATAGTAATATAAATACAGTTAAAATAGGAATTGAATTTTTTGAAACGCCAAAATGCTATTCCTGCTTATGCTTTTTTAAGTTATTGTAAGTTGTTGATGTGTATTGGCCGGCAAATTCGAAGTAATTAGTCATCACGTAAGTGTTCGTTCAGTCAACAAAAATTCGGTTGAATAAATACCTTCGACACCGTTCGCTCCCCGTTGTTTGCTTGGCAATCGCGTGCACCACTTATACAAGCACGTCATACACACATAACTACACTACAATTTACTATGTCGTATTATATACGAACAATACAATACGACACTACTACGTGTTACCCTCGGAAAGTTAAAACGTACCATGTACTCGGATATTGTACAATACTTGAAAAGTGCATTAACAGCGGTCATTCCTGTTAAAACGTTTAAGTACATGTGTTTTTGATGTTATGATTCAGTTACTGTTTTTTTTTATTTGATTTTCAAAAACTCAATTTATGTTAATGAATTAAAAATCTTAATGAAAATTTATTGCTTGTTTTTCATCCTTTTAAAGTTATGATCCTTAAACAGATTTTTTAATGTTTTCATATCTTTTTTTGTCAATCACTTTGGTTCTAATTGTGATACGAAGTTTAAAAGCGGCAGCGCATTTGTGGTTCCTTGTAATATTGTTACAGAGAGATGACATTTCAGTGTTAAGGCTGTTACTGTATTATTATAAAGTACATCCTCGTGCTTGTGTGTTTTATATGTATTATATACCAATACAGTATAAGAAACAAAACGAAAAATCACGAACGCGATAGGAATAAATAAAATTCTATTGGGCATAAAATATTGATCACGTATCCATTCCTATGACACGGTACGCCATGCAACTTACATATACGGAACCGGCCTAGGTATACCAATATTGATCCAATATCTTACCAACGCCGTAGCGGCTCAATCTATTATTGATTCCTTTGATGTATACCACACTCACCTGTATATAGATCACATTAATTGTCTAGAAATTAACAATAGGTTTTCCATACAATGTCGGATATTACATCGTGTGTTGGCTTATATAGGTAGATAAAGTGTTAAATAAACATCACCTTGATGTTTATTTAACACAGAAATGTTTTGAAAAAGTATTTTTAAAAACTAGACTCAAAAGCTTTTTAAGGAGCAGTTATTGGGATAAGCTTTTATGGCATCGGGGGGCAAACATGTAGACCGGACCTGATAATAAATGGTTGCCACTGCCCATAGACATCTGCAACTTAATAGTCACCAGTGCGTTGCCACTCTTTGCGTTCTCCCCTTCAATTAGGAAGAGGAGGGAATTTGGGGCTCCGGTAACTTCACTCAGTAAAAAAACAACGAAATAATTTTTAACACCAGTTTTCTTTAAAGACGTGGCATCACTTCGATCGACATATCCAGTGTAGGTATATGAAAATTTAAATAATTAACATCGTCATTCACACATCTTTTTTTCTTAAGTTTATTTTTAATATTTTTTCAGCCTTGTAAGTTTGCATACAAATTTCTGCTAAACCGTTAAAGCAATTAATATTAAATTTCTGTTCTATGTGAAATATGGGTCTATATTGGCTTACATAAAAATCTTATTCCTATGTTTGGTTTTAATACAGATTTGTGTTTAAAATAATCACTCTTCATAATTTCTTCATAACAGAAAATTACCCTTATTTTCTCATTAATAATGGCATTACTAAGAAAATATTTGAACTTACAATGAGTTCTCTGTGTCCGTATCATGTATGTTTGTAAAGTCCCCCGCGACACAGGATATATTCCTAATGCGGTAGTTGATTTAAAAAAAAAACTATTCAAAATAATATTTACTTATGCCGTTAATTATTTAGTAAAAAATATAAATGTAACTCAAGAATAACCACTTTGTATGATAATATCTATTTCTTTCTAGCTGTAATTTAGAGGTTATTCAGTTTATTACTATTAGAAGGGCAATCGTGCAAACTTTTTCTCTCAGATCAGTATAATTACTCTGTAATCAGAGATGGGGAAGTCCAAACGTTAGTTAATTATAAAGACGCAGAGACTCAGAAGTAGAAGGGTCATCTTTCGCTCGTCGTCTACTACATGTAAGTATTAGTTAAAAAGTATCGTCGCTGTAGGGTCGCAGTTCTAACCTAACCTAACACTCCTCCTTTTTCTTTTTTTTTTACTGTGCGGAAATGCCCTCGGATACCACTTACCGGTGGCAATGTCGGACTCGAACCGACTAAAACCGCACGCCGTCTCAGGTACCAGTAATCGGGGAACCAGGTGTACCCTAGAAAGGAAATCCCTGGTGCCCCGACGTACCTCGGGCCATCTACGGCGGGTAGACGATCCCCCCTGTGTGGGAACCCCCATGTTCCCTCTGTGCTCCCGGCAGGCTGGCCTGCTTCTCTTAGGGTGACAGGTGAGGCCATCTGTCACCCTAACAGAAGCAGGCCTGCGCTTATAGAGGACGGAGGTCGTTCTGCGACCTCCGGCGCCTGAGTCGTCTGCGGTATCTGGCCCGTTCCCGAGCCTGGCGGGCCGGGAGAGTTCTAACCCTCTCCCGGTCCCGCTCCGCTATCTCCTTCGCAAACATAACTTGCTTGTAGAAGGAGACGGCAGAGTTCCACGAACTCTCGCTCCGCACGATAGCCGCAATCAGGTTATCGAGCGAGAGAACTCCCACTCCGATGGTCGCCACGAGGTCTCGCCTCTGCTCCACCCACGCCGGGCATTCTGGCAGCGTGTAGAGCGCCGTGTCCACGGTCCGACCATCGCAGTGGTGGCACACAGGCGTTGGCTCCTTGCGGATCAGACACAGGTGATCCCCGAAACATCCTTTCCCAGTGACCACCAGCGTCAGTCGGTATGAGAGGGTCCCGTGATGCCTCTCGAGCCAATTCTCCATAACGGATCTTACCGCTGCTTTGGCGGCGTGCCCGGCGCTCGGTTGCACAAGTCGTTCCTTCCACTCCCCTACGAGGACCCGGCGGAGTTGGGATTTCTGGTCATCGATTTCTCGAGTCTCAGGACTACGACGCAACTCCCGCGCCTCCTTGCGCCACTGATACAGAGCCGCAAGGGCTCTCGCCTCCAGGTCCCACGGTGGAGTTCCGGCTAAGAGACTCGCCGCCTCAAAGGAGATCGTGCGGTACCCCCTTATGATCTAGCTTTGTTCGTCTAACGTCGTTTTGTGAAAAATGTGCACCCGTGAAATGTATATGAACTTCGAAGAGTCAGAGGCTCATGACCGAGGGTGGAGCTCGAATTGCCAGTATGCAATGGTAATGGAGGGATCATTTGATTATATCTCGAGTTTTATGGAAGTGCTTTTACTGTCGTCATTTTAAATAATAATAATAAGTAAAGACACCTCACACACAGCCCATTTTATTTGAATTTTCATTGTTATAGTACTGCTTTTTTAATTTTTGTACACATTTTTAATTTTTTTAAAAGACGATTACAACCCTAGAAACATAACCTGTGTCACGGTGGACTTTACAAAAATTTAATAAACGGACACAAAGAACACCCAGACTCAGAACAACAATTTTTTGATCACCCAAAATGTTATCCCTTGTTTGGGTTTCTCAGGTGACTGTAAACAGCTTAAACTACTACGCCAGTCAAATAATCTCACTAGTAAACTCACCTCTGTGGTTGAGTGAATTTGATTGACTTCAAGACGTTCGAGACTTAAGGTTTTTTTTCCATTCACCAGCCTATCCCCGTTCACTGCTGAATGACTATCCCATACGTTTACATCGTTTAATATGAATGTGTATTTTAAGTAACCATCTTAATTTTTTTGTTGATGTTATTAAAATTTTTGCGAGACAATGATATATAACAAGTTATTACAGTATAAGTATAACATTTTTCTGTATAATAACACCGAACTAAAGGGTGCCTCTTAAACACTGAACTGAAATGAAGGACTGTATTCTACTGGACTGTATTGATCACGTCGAAGTAATCGCTTAGAGAACAATCGGTTGTTCTCTAAGCGATATACCGACTTCAAAGTGATAGAATGTACAACATCATGTATTTTTTAAATTCTAATTTTGAATAGCTCATCCGATAGAATATAAACTTGTTTTAATTTTTATGAAAAAAGCCATTTCAGTTTACTGTGATTTTCTCATATTTCAGGTACATTTGACTCCGTTTTCTTACCCTTAAAATTTATTCTGACTGTTACTATACTATACCTAATAACTAATTACCTAATCAAATCGGTTCAACCGT